ATATATATATATATATATATATATATATATATATATATATATATATATATATATATATATATATGGGGCAAAATTTGTGAACACGGCCACCGGCCTCTCCATTGTCACGTCTTAGTTGTTTTTTAAAACGTGTTTATTGTCCTTTTTGGGTCAATGGATTTAACCACTTTACCCCGAGATGGACAAGTTCGTGTGATTGTGAGTGAGTAAATGTGTAAACGTATGTGTGTATAAAATAATGATTTTACTTACTGATTCTGGTTTTATATTGATTCTTTCTTTTAAGTAATTTTAAATTATTTTGAAGTCCTTCTCGTACTGTAGTTACAGAGAGACTGAAGAGCTTAGGATCGGACTTAAGAGGTTGGTGAAAGTTTGGGAATATGAGTAAAGTGTAACGCGATACTTAGGAATTGGTCAGAGGATATATTAGGAAAACAAACCTTTATCTATCCAATAACTTATTTACGATTTTTAATGTTTTATCTTAGTGATCCAATTGTTATGTATATTGTTCGTGTGATGAGTTTTAATTGATTGATTTGCTGAATTAAAAGCTAAATCTGAAACTGACTTTTTAAACTTCTACTATTACTACTCAAAAACTGACTGATTGATTAATTGATTGATTGATTGTCTGATTGATTGACTGGCTGAATGACTGTTTGTCTTATCTGACTTCTTGTCTGGTCTGTGTGGGCAGTCGCACCCGTTTTTATAGGCAGGTGACGAGATACCGCCGCGCGAATTCTCACCACCTTTTAGTAGAAGGGGAAAGATGCTTCTTACGACATGTGAGCAATAATCAATAGTTAGATTTTAACACCTTATTATCAATCCATTGTTCATCGACCACTCAGGGCATTTATTGCATTCCTAGTGATAATAGAAGGTGCACTTGATCGAACTGAAGAGAAGTTACGTCGGACGTAACACCATAATTCATGTGCATCAAAAAAGTTGTGCTTGGGCATAAAATTTAGCTTAAAAAGTCTACTTTCGAATGCTGTGTGCAATATTTAAAATTTCGAAATGGCAGACTCAGTTACGGCGCCAAGAACATAAAAAGTTCCCGAAAAAAATATGTATTGTGTAAAAAACATATAATATCCCAAAGGAAAAAAAATTTGTTTCCCGTAAATTGTGCACATATTAGTGTACTTTACATCAGGTATGTTGAATTTCTAAAAATTTAAAATGGTGAATCAAATATGGCTGCTGAAAAACCGAAACTCAAAATTTGACTTTGAAAAAAATATGATCATATTTTACGTCAGAATTTAAATACAAATGCCCTCTTGCGATTTTTTGAAACAACTCATCCTTTTTAAAATAAAAATTCAGTGGTGTTAAAATTATTATAATTGAGTCAGAAGAAGTTGAACGTGTTGACATCATAATAAATTGTGGACGTGAGAAGAACGTTTGGAAATCGCTGAATACAAATTAGAGGTCAGATTTTCAAAATTCAAAATAGCGGATTCAATATGGAGGACCGAAATTCAAAAGTGGTGCGATTATTGATTCGAACATCATCGGACACTTACATCATGTCAAATCTTACCCAATATCGAACGGTATCTGTTATTATCCCCAATAAGAAAAACATTCTGCATTTAACAGGGTTATGACTGTCACTATATTGGAATAATGCCTGCATTACTTTTCTTTTTGTATTTTTTTTTACTTTCTTTCTTTTTGTATTTTTTTCCATTTTTTCTTTTTGTATTTTTTTATTTTTTTTTATATTTTTTTTTACATTTTTTCTTTTTGTATTTTTTTTACATTTTTTCTTTTTGTATTTTTTTACATTTTTTCTTTTTGTATTTTTTTTACATTTTTTCTTTTTGTATTTTTATATAGCAACTTTACATACTTTCGACAATCTCACAAATATCAGAAAATGAGTAAATTTTAGTTTGTAGATTTCCATTAGGTAGAACTACAAATGCATGTAAAGATGAAATGTGTGGTATAGCTTGGGCTTTGGAGAATCGCTTCCTTAAGTGTCTTGCAGCTTTATTGTGCATCTTCTCGGTGTAGAAGAATATACCTATATTACGAAATATTTCTTAGCCCATTGAAATAGAGATGATGCATTCGTAATTGGCTGAGTAGAAGGAGCTTCCAAACTTGCTCTGGTGGCTGCTCGTTTAAAAATAGCTCTTATTCCATCATAAGCGTGCTTCCCGTGTGCAGTAGCATAAAAATGCCACTCAGCAGGTACTCCCTGGTCCTTAGTATGATTCTGGAGGTTGGAATTTTGAAAGCAATTTTTGAAATGTTGTTTAGCCCCATCTGAAAAATAGATCACGCGTTGCGCATTAACATTGTTCTTGATTTCGTTCATTAATAAACCTTGGATAACATAAACAGACGTAGTATCATGTTTAGTGCAATTAGAAAAGAATACGAGGCTCTGATGTTTGATCTCTTCTCCTTCTCGATAATAATAAATCACAAGCATCACAAGTACAAGTCGTTATTATAATGAAAACCTTGCGAAGCATTCTGTACGACATATGCATAATTCTCAGAGAAATCGAATAAAACTAGAACTTCACCAAGTTACAGGTTCTGCCTTCTATTTTCGAGATACGTTGACTGCTGCTTGGTGATAAATGAATAGATATTTAATTTTGTTAGCTCCTCGTATAATCTTTCTACAAAATCCTCAGCCGCAAGCATTTCTGTGATAATGTTCGATCGATCAGTAGAAGTCCACTGGCTGCACAGGACGTTTTCAATACAATGTGTATCCAAACAATTACGCAATAGCTCTGAGAGGATGTTTGTGCCAGGACATTCCTGACATTGATTCAAGTAGCAAGAAGGAGATGGTTTTTGGCATATCATCAAATTCAGGCTTTGTAGTTACTGAGATGATATTGAGATGATTTTGTCAAAGATTCGATGTTGATAGCCTCCAATTTTAATTTGGGATTCTCGTGTAGGGTGCAAACGCAAACGAAATGAGTTCCTGACGATCTAGCGGACACACGATTCTTAGGGCGCAGCTTCGTGAAAGCACTAATACTAATTGGATGTTGAGGATATGTCTCCAAAAACTTTTCATGCAACTCTCTTAGGCCGGATAATAATAATTGTTTTTGCACCAATTCTCTCTTATCCCCCATTTTTATTGAAACTATATCTTTCTTTCCTGACATTATTCTTCCATACAAACTTCACTGTTGAAGAAATCAATCACTTGTGAGGTTGTTTCTTGCGGTAACTTTTTTCCATTCTTTAATGTTGTTGAAGCTAAAACACCTCTTGATTCTCTCAGTTCTTTTGCTTTTTTAGCCATATGTCTCGATGCTCCAAACTGTGCAGCAACTTCACGAATGCTACATGAAGGTGGAGCAACAGTAAGGAGTCATAATCTCATAGGATCATTACTCGGAAGACTTGCATATGCCTCTTTTAACGCAGATGACAGCTGTTGTAATTTTTGTAATCGTGATGACTGTTCATTTTCAAAAGGTACTGATTGACAGATTGTATCGAAGGAGGAATCATTATCAGTCTTTTCTTGCTTTTGTCTACATGTCGCACAGACCCTCGCATTCGCCGGAAGGTGAGGAAATTTTTTTCGGAATTTATTCAAAACTGGTCGCAAAGCCTTACCGACATGAGATTTTTCCCCTATTTCCCTGTAGGGGTTGCAACATCTATAAGGCATTTCGAGATGTTTCATCCAATTTAGAAAGAAACCATGAAAGAAAATATGTTTAAATTCTTTGAGCTATGACAAAGTATAATGCAAACCGTATCAGAATTGAAAAAGAATAAGCGATGTGTATCAAACGTACAGAAAAGCAATATATTTCAAACTAGTTTATATGAAACATTCTAGGCGAAATAAGAAAACATGAAATTACAACCAGGATTCCTCTATTTATATTTCTGGCATGGCACTTTGCTTGCGGGAAACGCCAATTCAGGCTTCGGATCGTAGAACGCGCCCTACGCTCGAACCGCGGAAAATAGAAGTCCCCTGACCGTTTTGAGAAAGAAAATTTAAAAAGTCGATATTTGAAGTAAAACAAATATAGGGATGCAGGGAATGACGAGCCAAAACTTTTTTCGATTTGCAGTTTTTTTTTAAACCATTAGTTTGCATAAAATAAATTAAAACTGAAAACCCGTCAATAACAAATATAATAAAATTTTAAAATATTAATTGTCACAAGTTAGTCAATTATTTGTAGAATTGTTTGACATGTACTACACATATTCTCTAAGGTCAGGCGAAGCCAACAAAATGAGAAAAATGTTAAAAAATATTTATAGTTTAATAATTTTTAATTTTATATAAAAGTAGTTTATAACCTCGTTCTTTCCGATACATGGACAAAAATTATAGAGGAAATTTCAGAGTTGAGCAAGTTTCCAGTGAGACATTTGTCCCTCAGTATTTAAGGATGTTTTCTGGAAATGTCAGATTGATCGGTTGTAAAACGGCGAAAATATCGATAGTTTAATAAGGCACTCGGTCCTGTCAACGGCATCTTCCGATCGTTAAATAACATAGGCTTTTACCTTGGTTTTTCTGTTTACTGATATCTCGTTTTATCATTTTTTTAAATTTAATTATCTTATTAACAATGAAATTTCGTTAATAACGATTGTTTTAAGCTTTGGTTATAAATAATAAATATAACATATTTACGTAACTAGTTAATATATTTTGAATTTAACGAATTAGATAAAATTATTTTTTAAAGCATATTGTAACTTTCTTTAATGCATACATTAATTTATCTTAAGTATATAGATGATTTGGAACAAACAAATTATATACGCAGTATGTCATTAAAGCCCCCAATTACCACATTTCAACCTAATCGCGCCACTTTTAAATTTTGGTCCTCTATATTGTATCCGCCATTTTGAATTTTGAAAATCTGACCCCCAATTTGTATTCGGCAATTTCGAAACGTTCTTCTCGCATCTCCAATTTCAACGTCTTGAGTTCTAATATTTTCAATTCAACGTTTAATATTCAACTTTTTCTGACTCAATTACAATAATTTTAACACCACTGAATTTTTATTTCAAAAAGGATGAGTTGTTTCAAAAAATCGCAAGAGGGCATTTGTATTTAAATTCTGACGTAAAATATGACCATATTTTTTTCAAAGTCAAATTTTGAGTTTCGGTTTTTCAGCCGCCATATTGGATCCACCATTTTAAATTTTTAGAAATTCAACATACCTGATGTAAAGTATACCAATATGTGCACAATTTGCGGAAAACAAATTTTTTTTCCTTTGTGATATTATACGTTTTTTTACACGATACATATTTTTTTCGGGAACTTTTTATATTCTTGGCGCCGTAACTGAGTCCGCCATTTCGAAATTTCAAATATTGCACACAGCATTCGAAAATAGACTTTTTAAGCTAAATTTTAAGCCCAAGCACAACTTTTTTGATGCACATGAATTATGGAGAGGCCGGTGGCCGTGTTCATAAATTTTG